AAAGAAGCGGCGTCTTCTATTACATAGAAGCGACATCTAGCAACCATGCCAAAGAATCTTCTACTATACAGAAGAAAGGAAGCTTCATCTCTTACTTCACAAGGGAGAAGTTTTAGCAACCGAATCATGAAGAATCTCCTACTTCACAAAAGAGCCTCTGTCTTCTACTACACAGAAGCAAAGTTCAGAAACTGTAACAAAGAATCTTTCTACTACATAGAAGAAACTAAACTCTGAATATAGTATTCGACCTTTGAAGTATTTTTCTTCTACACAACAGCCGATATCCAAGAACTCTTATACTTCTTCATCACAAAAGCATCATCCCATCTTATACTTACACATAAGAAGCATCCAACTGAGGAAAAAGAGTCTGAAATGGTTTTCCAAACATGGACTGAACCTTGGAAAAGAATCCAAACAAGTACCAAACTTTATACTTCAACCCCTTGCAGTATTCAATATCTTGACTAAATGCCCCAGAACGGGAGACACATCAAGCATTTGTATCGAAATCAGGAGAGAAATTTGTTGGAGGATGGTTCAAAGCACGAAGCTTAATCAACTGAGCTTTCAACACCACGAGGAAGTAACCGGATACAAGGTATAAAGATTGTATCAACCTGTTTCTCAAGCTTTCTCTGTCTCTGCTGGTAAGTTTTACCTCATGGGTTCACTTGGAGACCAGAAACTAGCTGCTAGCAAGAAAATCCGAGAACACGAAGCTCTGGGTGAGACCCACAAAGTATCTCATGATTTGAAGAAAAAAAAGTCCCATAGGCTAAGGATGAATGACAACTCCTGTTGCAATAACGTATACATGATCACTTTTCTTTTGCCGACACTGTCTTCAAAACTTTCATACCCGACTCAACCGAGTTTTCAACTGGCTATTTTTCCCCTTGAGGATTTCTGACTACATGCCATTGCTTGCATATCCCAAATAAACAACCCCATCTCATTCTTTTTATCTCACCCAATTCCCCACAAGGTTATTTCATAACCTGAATCTGATCACGAAGCAGCGAGAATTCAAGATTGGCAGTTCTGAAAAGAAAACACTGGGCCTGCCTAAGGATTCCCCATTCTGAGTACCTTCTGAGTACCTTTTATGGATGCATGAAGATGCATGAGGTGAGTGAGAAAATTCTCCCTCTGATATGATTCGGACATTACAGTCTCTGGATTGATCTTATCTTGGGTCTTGTCTCTGGATGACGTACCATCTTCAATCGATTGGCCAGGTGCCCCAATATAATATGCGTCTAGATTCTTTCAGGAGAACAAATGAATGCTTTTCCAAGCGAACCGATATGTGTTGCATCATCAGGCATACTACGCCACACAAAAATATAGTTTGTCTTCTATCAGAATAAAAGCGACATCCACCTGGTGAAAGAGAGTTTTGGAAGAGACGCCAAACAGGTGTTGGGCTTTTATAACCCCTTTATAGTCTTCAATATCGAAACCGAGTACCCCAGAATAGGAGGTGTATCTAGCATACATATCGTAATCAGAAGAGACGTTTGTGGGAGGAAGTCCTCGAAGATCAGAGCTGGGAAGAAACTGGGAATAATAGGATGTAATGCATTGGGCTCGCATTAGCATGCTCATCAGGGTTCTTGTGTCTTGGTTTAAAAGCTTTCCCCATGAATTCACTTGGGTAATAAAGACTGGCTCTTGTTGAACAAATTAGGGAACACAAAGTTGTGGAGGATGCCCCTGATTAGAAGGTATGATGCCCCGGCGTGGCGACCACATCTGACGTTGGTCGAAAAAAGAACGAAGCACTGATATAAGATCCTACAGTAAATGGGAACCACCTCCTGCTGTGACAGTAGGTGCAAGATTGTTGACATCGTCATCAGAGCTTTCATGACCCGACTCATCTGAGTTTTCAATCAATTATCTTCCTGCTTGAAGATATTTCTGTCCACGGGCCGAAGCTTGTAGGTATACCATATGGAGTTATTCCCTAACTGATCCCTGAGCATATGGTAGTAAGAGTCAAGATGAACCTCTGAGGAGAACCATGTCTGAATAAGAATCCCCAATCTTTGAGTAACTTTATGGGTGCATGAATATACATGGGATACATGAACGAATGCCATGTCATGTTCCGTTATTTCCAAGGAACTTACATGCTTTGATTTTGATTTTATGTAAGTAAAAGATGGAAAAGTTTGGCACAAGGCTTACAAATACGATTCCTTGGAAATCCCAGGACATGTATGTTAAGCATATGGTTAGCCATGTTATGTATGCAAAGGCATGAGATCAAATGGGATCAAGGTTCCATTATTTTTGAATATGATTGATGCACTGCTCTGAACCATATAAATATCATCAGATTAGAGGTCTGGCACAACTTCTGCACATGAGAACCAAGTACCATGTAAATCTCCCATTGTACGGGGTTAAGGTTTCTGGAACATCGGATATTGTTGAGCACTTTCTGAATACGTTGGGAATGCCAAGATCAAAGGCCTGAATGAGCTTCCAAGTAAGCAAGTCCAGAATCTCAGAAAATAAATCTGAGAACCCTACATTCCCCAACAGGATATGGCATCTGAATAAGTCACCAACAGAATATGGCATTTGAAAAAGTCACCAACAGAAATCCAGAATATAACCATTAGAACCAATAACCACCGTCTGATCATAGTCTTTATCTGAACATGAGTAACCATTTGAACATAGTCACCTACTGTACCTGTAATGACAAATCCCTCCCCACTCACGGGTGAAGACTAGGTCAGGGTAAGACAATGGTAACTCGAAAGTCACGGGTCCGCCTGAAAGTACTATGGGCTTACCCACAGACGTGGGTGCCGATAGTAATTCATTTGAACCTCATTCGAGCGTGGTATATGACAAGACTACACTAATTGGACCACGTCCTATAGCCGTCATGCCCCCACTCTATTCCTAGTGTCCTAGTGCACTCTGGCCTGGGTACTGGGCCTTTTACCTCAATAGTGACATCCCCACCCAACATGGAAAACAGAGTCCAGCATAATAGATAACAAATAGGGAAAGCAATAAAGTGCAATGCAAACTTATGCTCAGGCAAACATGTACAAATGAGTAAACTGAAAGCATAAAAATAAACACCTAAAGAAAAGAAAGCAAGAGCTAGGAGCGACTCCGGGATGGACCAGCATTTGGTCGACCTATTCCCCAGTGAAGTCGCCAGCTGAAACAACCGGCTGAAAATCATCAAAACAATGAAGTCGCCATCGAACGTCTTTTATCCCACATGAAGGGAAAGGTAAACATCGAGAAAACCCGAGAAGGATGAAATCAAGGTCGAACGACCAAGAGATAAGGGTAAGGGAGTCTGTTACGCGAGGGGAAGGTATTAGCACCCCACACGCCCGTAGTACTCTATGGTATCCACTCTTGTTGTCTATCTTATGGGTGTGTTCAATCTATGCTTATTGTTTATTATTGTTAAAGGGAAAGTGCATGCAAAAGAAAAGGAGAAAAGAATGTAGGGAAAATAAAATTGTTGTGCTCGTTCGGGCCCTACCCCGATGCCTACGTATCCCTTTTAAGGAATCAGAGCAGCCGTAGTTCGGCTTATATTTTTGTTTGTTTGTATTTTCTTTAATGAACAGTATTAATCTCGCCTTCTGCCGCAACTCGACCTTTGGAGATTTACGCGTCAGCACAGAAGTGAATTAATATGCTCTTTTGAAAAGTTTGGAAAGAAATGTGCCTGGACGCACAAAAAAGGTTTGAACTCGTTTGTTTTGGAATGAATGATAGTAATGTCGCCTTCTGCCGCAACTCGACCTTTGGAGATTTACGCGTCATCACAGAAGTGAATTAATACGCTCTTTTGAAAAGGTTTTTTTTTAAAGGAAGGCCTGAAGGCAGAAAGAGTTTGTATTGTTTGATATTTTTGTTTGTAGAGAATAACTAGTTAATCTCAAGGGAGAGATTTTAGCCATGTCTCTACTTATTCATGAAATGAGTCTTTGAGACTTAAACCACACTAAAGCTTAGAATAAGAGATCAATAAGGTCGAGAAGAGACCCGCTTATCGTCTCACATATTTAACGAAGATATGATTCTCGTCAGTAGATTTTTAGTATTTTGAAGTTTTGTAAAAAAAAGAAATTTTTGTTTTAATGTATATGCAAAAAGGGAAGGAAAAGTCCAATGGGACTAGTCTATTCCTAAACCTAATTTTATCATGCGTTAGTAGACCTAAAGTTATAATTTTGGGGGAATTCTACCTAATGTTAGCATGTATATTATTTGCGATAAAGAAATGCAATAAAGTGCGAAATGAGGGATAAAATAAGGCCACGATGATACCGAACGAAGAAGGTCCGTTGCCTTTTCAAAGTCACACAAGTGATAAGAAAACTCTACCGAAAGCTGCTCTGCATGAGTGATCATAGAATTAATCTCCAAGCATTCCATATTGCAAAAATTGCATCGATACTATCACAAAGATCTTGACTAATGATGAAAATGAAAATGGTTACTAAACATAAATGCTAATAGAAAATTCTAATTAAAATTTTAAAAAAAGAAATTCTAGAGAAATTCTACTATATGCTACCATTTTTTATTATTATTATTTTTTATCAATTAAGAGAAAAAAATAAACTAGAAGAAAAACTAAAAATAAAAAAAAAAGTTAGCAAAGTCAAGGGGTGTGAATTTGGCACAGGGAGTATTGCAATGAGACTTGGGCGTAAGGCCCGTCCAGCTTGAGCCCAGGAGGATCTTTTTTGTACAAGGAAAACATGTTTCTAAAAAAAAATGTCGAGCCTATGGGAGTGTAAGCAACAAGGCCCAGCTCCATAACACCAATATCCAATCCAGATTTTTATTTCACCTATTAATATATGTTAAATGAAATAAAACTATAAGGAAAAAAAACAAATAATAAAAAACATTAGGGTTCATCGTTGGACTTTCGTCAAAACGCAAACCTCCATACCCAAACCTTCTAGCGCCGCATAGCACCCTCCGTCCCATCTATGTTCTCGCACAGCGGAGGCCTCGCCATTCCCCATCATCAGCTTCGTCCAAACTCCCTCATTCCTCTTCTCTCTTATTCCGTCGTTCACCTTCTTATCCTCCGATTCTGTCTCAGCGGCTTCGTCTTCTTCTTAATTAGTTTCTCACTTCTATTGGAAGACAAGTCCGACGCGTGTTCAAAACTCAGGTATGCATATTTGATTCCATTTTCTCTTCTTCCCTAAATCCAATTACGTTTCGATTATTGCTCAAGTGTTTGTTGTTGTTGTTGTTGATTGAAGGTACGGTGAAGGTGAAAGATGATTTTCGATGGTAGTTGGATATGTTGTTGGTGTAACGCGATGATGATGAAAGACGAAGCTTTGTTGATGAAATTGATTGTCAGAGATATGTTGCAACAAGATGATTGCATATCCATGGACTTTTGCGATGAAGGCTGCATATTCAAAATTTGAAGTGGGGTGGAAATTTTCTGGGTTACAGTAAGGAGTGTCAAGATTGAAGGTGGAGGTGAAGGATGAATGGTGATAATGGTTAAATATATGGTTATGGTGCAGATTGGTTGTTATTGTGTTAGAGTTGTTCTGGATGCAGATCACTGACTTGATTCAAGAAGATCGATGAAACGAGTTTTGAAGATCACAAAGATGAGTGAAGCTACGTGAAGAAGATGTGATTTCTTTCTAGTTGATGATGTGCAATAAAGATGATCAATATGTGTTGGTGATTCAATTGCCGAGGTTGATGATGATTGAAGTTGATGCGGTTATTGCAGAGAAAGAGAGAATAAATTTCTGGGTGATTTTCCAGAATGCTGAAGAATGAATCATGAAAGAGGTAAATTTTTCTCTAACTTTTTCTGAATTTTCTTGGGAAATTTTCTGTGTGTTGAATCATAAATCATGACCCTGAATAATGAACCTTATTATGTATTTATGATCAGATAATTGGAGGGAGCTTGAGATGGATAAATAATGAAGGTGGGTGATGATTGAAGGTGCAAAGAGTTGTGAGATTGAGGAAGGAAAATGAAGATTGAAGATGGAGGTCGAGGTTTGAAGAGAGTATGGTTCAGAGGTGGAGGCTGCAGAGGTTTTTTTTTGAGTTCTTTATGAAAAATATCTTTTTTATTTATGAATCCCTTTTTCTTTTTTATAATGATCCCCCCTGGTATATAGCTTTCAAAAATCTGTTATAAAGCAGTTAGTTTATTGTTAGTTGGTTATGAAATTCTGTTATAGACAGTTAGGGGTGGTTATTGAAGTTAGTTACAGTTGAGAATTTTGTTAGTAACCTGTTTTGGAATGGTTAGAATTCTGCTTTGTTACAATTTCTTAGAACTGAACTGTTAACTGTTTATTGCTTTTTACTTTTTAATCTTTCTATACAGGGCTGAACTGTGGACGGGCTAGGAGTTTCCTCATGAGAATGAGCTTTGTTCTGCCATAGAAGCCGGATCAATACCTTTGTAGATTGAAGATTCGAGATTCCTTAATGCAAATGGCGCCAAAAGGGGTTTGAGATGAAAGCAAAGGTGTTAACCTTCTCACTCTTATGTTAGGATTCCTTTCTTCAATTACCTATCTCTTTGTTGTTGAAGCTGTTGTGTTGTTGCAGGTATCGAATTGTTTGGGTAATGGCATGTCTTCTGGAAACACAATATCTATTTCAAAAATAGTGAGCACCAATAGTGTATCCCCTCACAGTATCTACGTGTTTAACTTCTACATGATGGTTCCATATTAACTTTGCTAGAAAAACCAGGTGGTGATGTCCTTTTCCTTTCTGCTTCCTTTTTGTCTAGTGCTTGTAATTTTGTTTTAGCTTCAGCAAGAAAATCTTTTGATAGAGACATCCCTGCTCCTGTAATCTTCTCAACAATCTTTACACTCTGTTATTTCAACAACAGTGTTTGCCCGATCCAGAGAAAGAACTTCGCTTCTACTAAGAGAGAAATGTACAATTGCCTTAATGGGGGACAATAGATTCCGAGACGAATATTTCCCACTTGCATCTGCTAAACCAGATATCTGGTATTGAGCATTTAAGGGAGAGGTAATACCAGGTGGCAAAAGATGTTTACTTTCATAAGCTATAGAAACTTCAAAATCTTTGTCATGAATAATGGATATGAACATCTTACTCGGAAGTTTCTTCATTTTAGGTACAAGTAACTGCCTAGAACATTCACTTTTCGGAAGATCGACACCACTCAATTCAATCACAAATTTGTATAAGGAACCATCAACCATACCTAGTTTTCGGTTTAATTTGATACCATCACTTATATTTGCAGCATGCAGAGCAGCACCAAGAACTATTGCTTCATCAGCATCAAGATGCCTATCAAGTTCTATAATAATAGATTCATACCTCTGAACCACAGTTTCCACCACTTCTTTCAAGGTACCATCGATAACATTAAGATTCCCACTTTTTTCTTCTTTAATCTACTTCGCTTGACTCTTTTGCAGCTTCTGTTGCCTGAATTGCTATTCCTCGCGGTTCAGTGAGAACTTCAATATTTTGTTTCAGATCCATAACAGTTGTTTTGGCCTTTTCAAGCTCCTCTAGAACTTCAGCCTTGGTAGTTTCCGCGTTTTTCAGTTGCACCTTTATTTGGTTCCGCTCTTTCTGTGCTACGTGAAGTTTTGTCTCCTTTGCCCAAACACCCTCGACAGCAGAATAAGATTTAGATTTTGACTTCTTAACAATAGGATTTTCACCAGAGAATACACCTTCATCAAATAGATAAACAACATCTTTAACCGATTGAATTGGGGGATTAGTATCAACCTCTCCAACAGCAGGTTTTGTTGAATTATGAGACTCAGTAACACTTTTCCTGATTCTAGCTATCATTGCACCTTCTTTAATATATAAAATAAATAGCCTTTGAACTTTCAAACAAACCTTTAAATTTTAAGGCTTGGAAATTGGAATTAGTGAATTTGTGTTGAAGTAGTATGAAGATTATGGTGAAAAGGTAAGATCAAACTGTGGGATTTCGTGGAAGACACATGAAGATTAGGCTTTGGTGTTGTGTAGGATTTTTATAATTTCTTTTATAACATGATGGTAAAATTGTAATGAAAAATGTTTTGAATGCCATCTTGTATTGTAATGTAGCATGGAATTAGTTAAACTTGCAAATGTAATTTTAAGAATTCAATGATAATTTCTTCAATGTACCTTGCTCCTCGAAACTGATTTTGAAATTCCAAGTTCTTTTTCTCAAATATTTCCTTTAAATACCTTTATATGAATTTAAATAATCATGGTACGAATTCAAAATATTTGCAAGGTAACCATAAGAGACTTTAATCTTGAATGAATTCTTGAATGACTATTTGGATGAAACTATGGTTGTTGGATAGTATTTTTTGAACCATGAATGAAAGGGTTCGAATAAACTTTGAACACATGTGAACTTGAATCTGGAATAACGATGAACATCTTTGTAATGTGTATGAACTCTTAACTTCAATCTTGAATCCCAAATCAACTTGAATGACAAATAATTTGAATAGCCAATAAGATCTTGATCCTAAAAATTCACAACCTTGCCCTTTTGTATCATGCCTCATCCTACGATTTAATCCACAAGTCTCTTATCTCGACGAGGTCCTTCTAATTGACGACCTTTAATCATCAAAGATGTACACAAATGATAATGAAAGAACATGATCGAGATTAACATGAAACCTTATTTCCCCTGATCTTCAATTACTTGAACATTTATCAATGAATAGAAACCCTGATTTTTAATGAAATCTTCCTTTTCTGAACCAATATTTCTTTTCCTTTACCATACTATTCTTAAAATGCAACTCGAATTCCCAACACATATTAGATGAAAATTCAAGGGAGACCTTGGCCCCAAAGTTAATTGTTCAAAGCTTACTTTAACCGAAGTCAATAGATCTTATCCTCATATCTTTGAACTTGGCCCATGATTATGTATCTCAAGGTCTCATAAGAGCTTGTAAGCCCATCAACCAGGTATGCCATGTTGGACAAAACCCTTCCTTGAATGCCTTGAACCTTTAATTACCTTGCATGAATTCTTCCCTGAGAAACCTACTTCAATCCCAACCTACTCGCATCGCAGATAACAAATGACAATGATGAGGACAATGATTGCCTTGGTTAAGGAGAAATCTATGAATTCATATCTTAGGTCATGAACCACGCTTTACAATTCAATCCCCAGCCCTTAGCGATCGGTTATTTCAACTTGAAATTAGCGTCATAAGGAACATCTTACAGAGGGATGATAAAGTCTGAATCACAGAAGAATTCCCTTGACGTGAAACCTAGTTGCACAAATGAAAACCCCAGCACTTGCCAAGACTGGATAAAAGCAATTATATCTTGAAGAGAAAGAAATCATGTTAACCACACCTCACAATCTTGATTCCCCGTTTAGATGCACAGAGAAATATCCGAATAAAACATCTTTGAACCATGATTCAACAAAACCTAAATTGATTAACTGAGGAGTAGATGAATGTCATGTCACAGTCATTAATCTTAATCAAATGACAAGCATACTTATAGGAAAGGATGCCATGCTTCAAAGTCCACATATGCTAGGTCACGTCCTAGAATTCTTGACCAGAATGACCTACAACCAGTTGTTCATCAAAAGATATTAGCCCAGTAACTTGGTGGAGAAGAAGTCCAGAAATGAGCCTAAAAAAACCTAATTCCAAAGCTTGCTGCATGAATAAGAAATCATCCTTTATTGGATACGAGCGCCTTAACCACTGTGAAACCCTAGTATCGCACAACCACTGAACTTTGAACCTCAGAGCTATATTGAATGAAATGTATGCCATGTTAGTGACCTAAGGAAATATATGCAGATGAATGCAAAAGTATAAGCCAAAATAAAAGAAATTAGGAGTGCAAATTTTGGGGTGCAACAACTATATCTCATTGGATCATCTTGCAACCAGACTTCGGTATCAACTATCAATCTCAAACGACACTAATCAATTTGATCTGCCTTCAACCAAGTAGAAAAGTGATGAGACTCTCGAAGATATAAAGGCAATAGCAGAGTTGGAACCCAGTGGGATTGTTCACATAGCTGTTTGTTCTTTGTTTTTCACAAATTATATATTTTCAATCATTTAGGTGGCGTTCTCTTACTAGGACGTCAGCCTCTTGTACAAAATGCCTATTTACAGGTCAACTTCAAAATCAATACAATTCATTTTCACAAAGAAATTTCAAATTGTTTTTCTTTTTTCTGTTTTGTCTTGCAAGAACGTCCAACGTTTCATTGTTGATATATGCATTTGACGATAATTGCTGCTCATAAATATTTACATGCGAAACAAAAGACGATTACTCGTAATATCAGGAACAGGGACAAACAAGAAATGTCCAAGCCTTACGGTTGCTCTGTTCACCAGGTATAGGGATAAACCTAGCTGGAGAATACGACCAAAAGATACATTCACTCCCCGCAGAGCAAAAGGTATCTAGAAACAGTGATTCTCCCCAAGGCAGAGTTTATCTATCACCAGCACTAGAAGATTATCCCCAGTGGAGTTTATTTCTTCCACAAGCAGAAACTCAATCCCCAACAGGGTTCATTATCGCCAGCAGCGGTAATTCATCCTCAGCCGAGGTTATTTCTCCAAATCAGCAGATTCTCTAGCAGAGTATCTCTTCCCCATAGGGTCATTTTCTCGTCAGTTTATTCTCCAGCAGGGTTATTCTCACAATCATCTCCGGTCGTTATTCCCAGCGAGAACGAAGAATTCAACTCTTTTTCTCCAGCAGCAATCCGAGATTTATTTTCCCCAGCTAGAGAACGTCATAAAAACATTGCATGTCCATACATCTTGACATGCGCATACGCATCATACAAAACAATCTCATTTATTTTGAGAACATCATTGCTTGATGCATGACATGCATTACATACGACTAACCCTTTACCTTTCAGGAAATATATAATCAAGTTCTCACCAAGTTTAAGCTATGAAGCCTGGATCCGACCGGATAGTATCTTGATTTCTACATCATATTGTGAAGCCCGGAGAACGACCGGATAATAGTATCAAACACCGCGAAGCCTGGATTCGACCAGATAGTGGTTTATCTTTAAGCTATGAAGCCTAGATTCGACCGGATAATAGTTTAATCCCCAGCAAGTATTGCGAAGCCTGGATTACGACCAGATAGCAATACAAGTTTTTGCAAAGCCTGGATTACAGCCAGATAGCAGCCAAAGACACCGCGAAGCCTGGATTACGACCAGATAGTGGTATATCTTTAATACAAGTTATGAAGCCCGGATTACGACCAGATAAGAAGTAAGGTATTGTGAATCCTGGATTACGACCAGATAGCAGTACAGGACACCATGAAGCCTGGATTCGACCAGATAATGGTATAAAGCATCGTGAAGCCTGGATTATGACCAGATAACGATAAAAGGGCTGAAGCCTGGATTACGACCAGATAACAGTATAAGACACTACGAAGCTTGGATTTCGACCAAATAGAAGTTTACCTGGACAACTACTAAGAAGCCTGGAGTCGACCGAATATTAGTGTGCCCTAAGTCGAGTTGAAGCCCGGATGCAATCGGATAACAACTTAATTCCTTCTGAAGCCTGGAGCACGACCAGATAAGAATTGAGAAAGTGCGAAGCCTGGATTACGATCGGATAGCAAGTTTAATCTCATCTCCCCAGTAAGTCACTATAAAGCCTGGATTACGACCAGATAGCAGTCGGACTTATCACTATGAAGCCTGGGTCACGACCAGATAGTAGTTCATTTTCACCTCTTCGACTAAGAGACAATTCCCCAGTAGAATAAAGGACGACCTAAGTTCCTAAAATTCTATTTCTTCCAAGACAGAGATCAGCATTCCCCAGCGTAGTCTTCCTCAACAACAAGTATACAGACTCTCGCTAAGGAACCTCTTGGGCGATCGACACTCCTTCAGATGGCATCTTTAAGCCCATCTTCCATCATCAATCTCCAAATGGCATCTGTAAGCCCATCTTCCATCATCAATCTCCAAACGGCATCTGTAAGCCCACTCCCGACATCACAAGACAAAAACCACTTCATGCGAGTGCAAATTTCTGGGCACTTTAGTGTTCAATCATCTTCCACCTTCGGATCACGAAAGGTAGAAAAGCCAATCTACATCCTCAGGTTTAAGAAGATTGAACAGGGGAAGCTGTTGTACCCCAAAATTTTCCCTCCCATATTTCTCAAAACATTTCAAGAAAGATCCTCAAGTTGCTCAAGGAAGTCCAAGGGTTGACCAGACAAGCTCTCTCTAAGGCAGTCTACCTCAAATTAGGGTTTCATGTTGCATTAAGATACTTGAGTCCAAGGGATCCCAAATGCTCCCCATTGTCCTAATATGTTCTCAAGATCATCCATGTCAAGTTTCAAGCCTTGCAGAGGAAATTTGCTCAGTCAATTGCTCAAAGGCCTGAAAATCGACTATGTTAGGGCAAAAGTCAATTGTGGCCCACATACAGTCAAACATCAATATTTTTGGTCAACATCATTATTTTGGAGTATTATTCATCATTTGATCAAGGTTTGATCATGATTCCTCAAGGATTTCTCACAATTCATCAAAACCCAAAAGTTGCTAAATTAGGGTTTTGTAGGAAAAGTCAACTCAACTTTGACCAAGCATAACTTTCTCATACTTTATGAGAAATGACCCATCCAAAGCTCATTTTTAAGACGATGAAATTCCCTACAATCCATATTCATCTCCCAAGTTCAAAATATGCACTCACAAGAAGTTGTGAATTTGGACATTATAGGTCATTTTGAAAAGTCAACAAAAACACCTTTTTTGAAAAAGC